CAGCTGCACATGTGGACGCTGCACATTTTGATTATGCTGATCATTCATTGGTAGCTGATACACTGGCACAATATTTACTGTCGGCGGATCTGATAAGATTGGTGGATTCCCCATCGGCATGCCGAGTGTATGATTCGGCACATTGCTGATTGTACTACCAAGTCCTGCATTTAGCAATATGACGCTTGTTCGAGGCCCTTGGGATATATGTATCAATGGTGCCGTCATACGCTGAAATATAGACTCATTAATATGAGAAGCTTCGGCTTGATCATGTCGATTTTGATTAGCCGATATACTGGTTTCGAGCTTCTGATTCATCTTCTCTATTTGAGCATACATCATTTGATTTAATTCCCTAGTCATTGACCTCATCTTATGTATCTGAGAAACCAAAAATTGATTTGATTCCCCCACTTGGGAACTTACTTCACCGATTTGTGCTTGCTATGCATCAATTTTCTGCATAATCGATTCCGGTACCCGACCTAAAGGAAGATCGGATGGAATAGATGAGTCGGCATCATCACCAATGCCGAGTTGCTGGTTCTCTTCGTCAATATTGTCACCTATCGCCACACCTTTCGAATTTCTTAGCTTTAGAGGCATCTTAACTATAATTTGCTCACCTAATGGGTCCCGCCGGGAGTGCCAAAAATATTAACGCTAAAATTGGTTCCTAAGATCCGATTTTAATTTGATATAAACCGGGCGTGCCAGAACCAAATATATGGTTCAAATGTAAATTGTCAACTATAGTCCCTTTGAGAAAGTTGACTTTCAGGTGATTGCGAGGAAAAAAGGGAACAATAGAAACTCCTTTTTGAGTTCAGAATTGTCTTAGTTAAAAGGACTTTATCAGTGAAAAATTATAGTAACAGATTGAGAGAATAGAAAGGGGAGGAAAATAGATACAGTAAGAAGAGAGAGAGAAAAGAGATAGAGGGAAAGAGGGAGAACGAGAATAAGAAGATAGGGATAAAGAGAAAGAAGAAATAGCAAGGATGCTGTTCTTGAAAAAGCTTGAGAAAGCAAACAAATAATAATAATGATTCTAAGGGTGCTAGACCTCTTGTGCAGCATACCTCTTTGATTATTTATAAAATAAATTGTAGAAACAAACTCCTACAAACAAGTATCCTAATTACATTACAACTTTATCACATAATTGAAATATGAATTCAAAATAGACTAAACTTATAGATAGACATCATTCTGCAACCAAATAAATACTTTCTATCTATTTATTATTACCAACCATTCAAATCAATTCTAATCTGTTCATATTTTCAAACAAAGCCCATGTATATCCACTTATGCAAATCGATATTCCACCTATAGCTAGAGTCTTTGACCCATGTTAGATAAATAACTCCTTCAATCCAATTCTAATGTAACTTTAGCCCATTCTCTTCTTGCAGTTCACAACTCTACCACGTCATTGCATTTTAAGCCTATTCGAAGCCCAATTGCTTAACCCGAGCCCCATGTTTATATGGTCCAAACCTTTATTAGATCATTGTTCACCAGGCCCAATTAGAGTCCAAACCTAATTACCAAAATGGGTGTCAACATATACACTAAGATTTTTTTAAAATTACTTTGTTACGTAGAAGGCGAAGATTCAAGTGTCTATACAAGTTAAAGAAGGTATGTGAATGTATTTCTTATTGATAAAAAAAATAATTTATTCACGTAAGTTTTTTTTTCTTTCTATTCATGAAATAGGGTAGCAGTGAGTAGATGGAAAAAATAATAACATCGAGGAATCCATCCACGGTGGTTATATATATATATATATATATATATATATATATATATATATAAAGTTAAAAACAATTGAAAAAACAAAAAAATAATAATGAAGGTTATACACACACACTCGTATACAAAGAGAGGAAAGAATGAAGAAAGAATTTATGAGGTTAATTTGGTTCTAATAGTTTAAATTTTAAAATTTTATAAAATTAAGAAAGATATATTAATAATAACTTTTATAATTATTTTTTCAACTAATGAGAGGAACGATTGTGGAGGGACAGTGCTTGCGCTGCTACCTCTTGCACTGCTCTCTTTGTTAAATTTCCAATTCATTCAACTTCTCCCTTGCTCTCTCTCACGCCATGGCGTCAACAACTTGCTTTTGACTATTTTTATCGCTGCTAAGGGCAACTATGGAATTATAAGTATAAGAATTAAGCATTTGGTGGCATATGGAATCTTTTGTAATACAACTTTAAGAGAAAAAAGTGTAGAACATATTCTAAGGATGTTTGGTGGAGCTAGAGTATCAGTAACCTAAGTAGTAATTCTTTTAAACATGTATAATAAAATCATTTAAAGCTAACTTCACTTTTATTAAATGATATAGAAAATAGGATAATTTTTTATTAAATTACTTGAAGATAAAATATTTATATTTTGAGATTAATCTTATACAAATTCAAAATGGTTGTAGTGAATTGCTAGACTTATTATCTGAATGGTTGTAGTGAATTGCTAGACTTATTATTTTAATTTGTGAATTATGTAACAAATAAGGAAGTGGAGCCCTTCCACTTAGTTGTATTTGATATAAATAGCTAATCAAACATTATTCGGTTAGATAATTCAGTGCAAGTGTTTCGTATGAGCATCAGTACTCTTAAAAGTATTGTGACCTAATCCAAATTAAATGACTACTTGTATTAATAAAAAAAATAATTAATTAAAAAAAATAATTGATGGCGTAATTAAGAGAGTTTGTAAGAATTTGTGATCCAAATTTGTAATCCAATAACAAAATGTCAAGTCTGTGTTTCAAATCTTTCTTCCTTGCACAAGCACGCACACATGTGTATGTATGTGTGCGTGTCAATTATACGTTAAACATTGAAATTTTGGCAACTTTGCTTTTGTAAAAGGGAAATTCCATAAGATTAATTGAAGTATAATGTATATGCATATATATAGTTTAATGTGTATATATGGAAGAATCATTAAGACCAGTAAATGAGAACAGTACTTTATATATACCTGGAAAAATAGTAGAGTACTTAATTTCCGAAAAAAAAAAAAATAGTAGAGTACTTGAAGATGATCTGTCTTGTTTTTTTTTGTTTTTTTATCCTAACAAAAAGACGTTGAAGATGTTCTCGGCTTTGAAGTTTGAAGTCTTGTAGGTCAAAAAAAAAATATTGGTTTAATAACACAAACCTGGAGAATGTAATATCACATGCGAGGGTCATATATTTTGAATAGAGCTTATCTGTATTATGGGACACGTAGTTTCTACGAATTTACTTTGGCCTAGTTGGGTCCCAGTTAAAAATGTAGGAAGCAAAAGATATGTATTAAATAAAGGAAAATGATAAGAGAACCGAACCAAACAATCGAATAAAATGTCGAATTTAAAGTGACTCAGCCACGTTAGATTATTTTCTAAAAAGATAACTCCTACCTCTTCCCTTCTCTCTCCTCTCTTCCTCTAATTCTCGATTTTTCTTTTGTATTCAATCTTATCTTTGATTTTGGTTTTGTCTCTCTTCTGATTTCGTAAAATTGAAGATAAAATAAAAATAAATAAATTTCTTCATGTTTTGCAAGTACAGAATTACACAACCAAAACAGAACAAAAAAGAAAAAGAAAAAGAAAATAAAAGCTACAACTGTTTTTTCTCTCCTTCTGATTTTGTATCCATAAAAATCAAATAGAAACTTTGAGAAGATTCATCTGTTTCTCTTCTCTGGATTAATGACAACTCTTGTGTGGATATTTACTTACCTAAAAAAAAAAAAATTCTGCATAGTTTTCATCTGGAATTGGAAAGATTTATTCTTAGAAGATTTATGAATAGAGAAAAATAGGTAATATTGAAAAAGGAGCTGAGGATAAAGAATTTTGGATCTTGTCTCTAGAATACTTCCGATATGTGTATCTCAAGAGAGGAGATGTATAAGAAGAATTGGTGAAGAACCAGACACAGAGAGGAGAAAGAACGGAGAGGAAGAGAGAGAAAAAGGAAAAAGTGGGAAAAAAAATTATCGATGATAAGGAGTTAGGTAATGAAATTATTTGACGTGACAAAGCTACATAAGATTCGATGTTTATTTCGGTAGAAACGTTCGATTTCTCTATCACTGCTCTTAAACAAATAAATAAAATTTGAAGGACTTTCAAGTTAAACCAATAACAAATATGATTAATTTTACAAAGTCCTTTGACTAAGCCGTATAATTTTTTCATTCTCAAAGATTATGTGTTTGCTTTACCATTCAAATATATATAAGTGTTTTGTTTTTTTGTGTTTTTTATTTTTGTCAGGTACTATAATAGTGAACAGTGAAAAAAATACTTTTAGTAAAAATTGTTTTATTATGCGCGGTGCTCAAATATTAAACAATTTTGCAAAATATTTGGTGAATAGTGGCCAAAAATCGAAACACCAATTTAGTATTTTTATATGTTTTTGCACTCTAACGTTTGGTACTGTAGCGATAAACAGCAAAAAAAAAATTATTTATAAAAACTCTTAAATGACATTTTAAAATTAATCATTATATTTTTCAAACTTGCAACACTTTTTTACCAAATATGTTTTCATGTTTTGCTTCCAAAAATCTTTTAACAAATGGATATTAACAAACATGCTTTCGATTACTATTCAAAACAAGAAAATAAAACAAAACGCGCATTAAACTTTTTTTTTTTTTTTTTTTTTCCTTTCCCAAAACACAAATTAGACAGGCCATTATGTTCTTACCAATGTTTGTTCTAGTATATATATGTAAGGGGGAGATCATTTGGAAAAACTTTGGGGTAGAAACTAGAAAGTGACCATCACTAAAAGTAGGGAGTGAATCTAGATTGCTCGAATGAAAACTTAATTGGAGATAATTTGAACCAAATTAAACTTGAAGACCTACCTCTATTCAATTTCGAGGAACTGGCAATTGCAACAGAAAATTTTGATGCGGCTAATAAGCTCGGGCAAGGTGGTTTTGGTCCAGTGTACAAGGTAATGCATGTTCATCAAGAGCTTTACTCTGTACTAAAAAAAGAAATAAATCAGTTTAATTTTCAATTTCAAGGGAAATTGCCAAGCGGACAAGATATAGCTGTCAAACGGCTTTCGAGTTCCTCTGGACAAGGGCTGGAGGAGTTTATGAATGAGGTTATGGTAATTTCCAAACTCCAGCATCGCAATCTTGTTAGACTTCTTGGCTGCTGTGTGGAAGGAGAAGAAAAGATGTTGATCTATGAATACATGCCAAATAAAAGTTTGGATGCATTTCTTTTTGGTTAGTTCATGATAAAGTTGTTTATGTTATTTCTAGTTATTTCAATTTCATAACCTTAACATCAACAGAAACATTTTGTGATGAGAAGACAGAATGCCTTTTCTTGTAGTCTTTGGGAGCATACTGATATACTAAACCATAAATTTGGTCTCAACAACAATTTTATCCTCCCTATAACTTTAAGCTACTTGTTTTTTCTTTTCGTCAATATTCTTATAGATCCAATCAAGCAAAAACTCCTAGATTGGAGAAAACGTGCCTACATTATTGAAGGGATTGGGCGAGGACTACTTTACCTTCACAGGGATTCCAGATTAAAGATTATTCATAGAGATTTAAAGACGAGTAACGTTCTGTTGAATGAATATCTAAATCCGAAAATTTCAGATTTTGGTATGGCAAAGATTTTTGGAGACAACCAAGACCAAGCAAACATTGGAAGGGTTGTTGGAACTTAGTAAGTAGCTTTTGCTTTGTCCAAAATGACTAATCATTCACGTGATAATCGTTCTTTCCCATGGGCCACTTCAACTCAAATAATTTAATTATTTGGGCTGTAATAACATAATATAGTGGCTATATGGCTCCTGAATATGCAATGGAAAGGAGATTCTCGGAAAAATTTGATGTCTTTAGCTTCGGTGTATCATTATTAGAGATTGTAAGTGGGCGAAAAAACACTAGCTTTTATCATGATGAAGAGTCATCGAGCCTTCTAAGATTTGTAAGTTCACAAGATTCTTTGTCTCAGTCACTCCATATTTCCTTTACATTCAAATTCCTAATCCAACATTTCATGGGTTTGTTACTCTCTCCAGGCATGGAAATTGTGGAAAGAAGATATGCTTATAAGGTTTATAGATCCAACAATTTCTGATCCATGCTTCCAAGTGGAGATCTTGAGATACATACATGTAGGACTATTGTGTGTGCAAGAATTCGCCAATAATAGGCCTACTATTTCTACTGTTCTTTCGATCTTAGTAGGGAAATTGCAGATCTTCTAACTCCAAAGCAAACTGCATTTACTGAAATACAAGGTGTCTCAAATATACAGTCTTCTCAACATAGCCAAAGGAATTTTTCTGCAAACAATGTAACTGTTACAACAATTTCTGGCCGTTAGCATGCAAATTCTTGTGATTTTTTCTCTTATTATTATCCTCCAAGTACACTTTAATTGAATATTCGATACCTGTGGAACTGGTAGAGCAACTTGTTTTTCAATTGCAATTTTAAATGGTTTGTGGATCTTTTTAATTGGGATTGGAATTTTTTTTTTTTTTGATAAATAATTGGGATTGGAATTTAGTGGGAAAATTTGATCAAACAGTTAGAAATCAGAGTCTTCATGTTGGTTTTAATGTTCCTCAGGGTGCTAGGCAAATGATATGGAATGTTGCTGATACTGTGAATGAGCCTTCTTTGTTACTGTTTAGCAAATTGAGAAGAATGTAATCCTCATTGTTTGCTGCTGTTTTGAGCTTGTTTAGGCTCTGTTTATTGGTTCTCAGAGAGTACCTCCTCTCTGGTTTGGGTGTTCATTCTCAGCTATCATTGTGCTTTTATTGCTTTGCTGTGGGTTGTTTCTTGCTAATCTGTATCCTCGGCAGCCTATGCCCATAACTGTTTTGTGCTTTTGATTGTTACTTAGGCTTGGCTTCCTTAGCTACTTTTGGTAGCTTTTAAGCTAGGGCTTCTTGTAATTAGGAATTATCAGTAGAGTTATGGTCAAATACAATTACAATTTTAGCTTACTTCTCAAAATTGTGACTTTAACTCAATCTTCATTTCTTAAATTCTTTCTGTTTATAACAAATATTTAATAATTTTTGATAAAAATGAAACCCAAAATTGAGGCACCAAAATCAAACTTATCTTAAAAATTGTATGGGAAAGATTACAAAGTCAATTGAACTATTTGTTAAATAATCACAGTAACATACTAAAAAATAGGCATATAGTTTAAAAAGGAAAAGAAAGGGAGGAAAAAAAACAAGAATGGATTCTGATTATTAATATTTTTATATTTCTGATGTAGCGGAAAGCGATAGATTGTTCAGAAGGAACGGGTTACTCTGAATCGACAAAGTGGGTGTTTTGAATCCACAAAACATAGATAAATTCATAAAGAATTCATAAAGCACAACAATGTATGCGCAGATTGTTATGAAATCCCACAGCTACTGCTTAGAAATTGGAACAAAATGTTGTCTTGAAGTAGAATTGAATTAAATTAGCAATTTTCGAGTAAAAATGCTTCAAATTAAAGATTAAGAAGATATGTTCCACTCTTACCTTCTTAATCATGACCATGTCATTTTGAAAGGTCCACTTTTTCTTGATATAGTTTCAACAACTGAGGAGCTTCCTTATAACAGGTCACAAATTCTCAAGGAACAAACTCTCTGTGGACTCCAAAAATGTTGCTGCACTAATGGGGTTCTTAATCAAACCTTTCAACAACAAAACTTACGGAACACCTGGGAATGATCCTCTTACCCAAGCTCAGTGCCATTAATAATGGACGATGGGCAATTAGGGACGACTACCAACCCATTGTGTTGACATAAAAATTCAGAGTCCAGCCTCCTTGGATATTGTCATACACCACGGATATCTTGTAAAAGCCAACATTGTTTTTTCCTCAGACCAACCCCACTTCTGATAAACCTCCATCCTCCTTTTCCATGTTGATTTGCTCATTGACATCAATGCATGAACCGCAATAACCAACTGGAATTTGGAAGGGTTGAAACCCATTTTCTTAACATCCTCCAATAACTCATTGAATCTATCTGGCTTTATCCTGAGAGACCTAGGCTGAGAAGTAAATAAGTATACAATATTCGAACCTGGCACGCCCAGTTGTCTCAAAATTTCAATGTTACAGAATATAATAGCATTGTGACAGCACAATAGAATCACAGGAAATCGTTTAAAGACCGCCATAAACTTATTATCTGAATGAAATAAATTCTTGAGCAAATTGAAAGATGGGATGATATGGCCATTCAAGCTTTGTTCCAATAAAACTGGGCTAGAGGATACCATCTTCGCGAGCTTAGTGCCGGAAATGCCGGTGGAGTAAAAGAACTTGAATTTGGGCAAAAGGGTTTTCTTGGGATCCGATAAGAGAAGTTTTGGGCGTTTTCTGATGAGATCTGAGATCTGAGTCTTGCTAAATCCATGATTCGTGAAGAATTTGAGAACTGAATCTAGGTTGTCTAGGGTTTTAAAATTGACGTTTTTGGAAGTTGAAATAGCAGTTTCTGGACATAACCCACGTGAATTAATGAGGTAATTGACAATAAATGAGTGTTGATTTGTGGAGGTTGAGATGGAATTGAGAAATGAAGGAAATGGATTGATTTGAAGGACATACAGTTTTTGGAATGGTGAATCTAAAGAGAAGAGCATGTCAAACAAAATAGTGTTTTACTGTACATAGAAATAATTGGAGATGAAATGTGATAGTCAATGTTTTGAGGAACTCACCTCATCGTTTTTAGGTGTTCTTGAACCAATATAGCCAATCTCCTCCTCTGGTCGTGTTGATGAATTCACTTTGGACGAAGCAAGCGAGAGTGGAGATAACAGACGATAGACAACGTCGTTTGACATATCTTTGTTCCTTTTATTTATTTCTGTGTTTTTTTTTTTTTTCATCTAATTTTTGTAGTATAAAATTGCAGTTCCACTACTATACCAACCCCAAAACCCCACCCCACACCCATGAATAGGCATTTATGATTTGCCACGTGGAATGCACGTGATTGATTAATACTGTATATGTTATTACTACTAAATTCAAATTTAATTATTTCAGTTTTATCTAATATATTATCTAAAAATATATATTTTCCTCAAAATATTAATGTAAAATATCTACTTTTTTATTTATCTTTTTATACAATCAATAAAAGTAAAAAATATATAAATAAAAAGAGAATAGATAATAAACAATGATAGATAATATTTACATGCAGGATGAAAATTTTTACTTTATAGTCCTTCAAAATAAATTTTTTTTTAGCCAAATTAAAAATCATATTCACACTCAACTTTTCTAAATTTGCACTCCATTCTTAAATAATAATAATTATTATTATTATTATTATAATTTTAACTTTATAAGTAAATGATGATTATTTTTCAAATGATACAGCTGCATGATGAGCGCTGAAAAGTGCGTATTTAAACCTCTTAAGCTTAGGCATTCTAGTACCTTTATCTATCTTACTTTACCGTTTTAAATTGATTTCGGATTATTTCTATTTTCAAGCACTTATCCCGAAAATAAGCTAGCTCAGCCAAATAAGAACTTAATTGAAGCAATTCTGGGATTAAATAAAGAAAGGAGCAAAGTAAAGAAAGAAAAAAACAAATGAAGCCAAAGGTGGGAAGTAGCAAATTTCGATCGATCGAACACTGATCGATCTCAGTACTTCAAGATAGATCCAAACCTTGACCCAAAACAAAAAGTCCCAAGTTCGATCGATCTAACACCACCCTTCGATCGATCCAACACTTTTGTCCTTATTCAAATGATTGATCTTATCCACAGCTGTACCACTCACTAACCACTTTTGTCATTTTCCCTAAAATATCTCCCAAAATATCTCGGATTTGTTTTTTTCCCAAAAAACTCAACCAATTGGATCGATCCAGCCTCAGTTCAATGGATCTCAGCAAGTTCGATCGATCCAAGTCCAAGGTTAGATCAATCGAACTTCCTCCAGTGCGAAAAAGTTAAATTTCCAGCTTGTGCAATCCGTCCTCAATCCAATCATTAGAGAATATTCTTTGCACGACCCCAGCTCATTTTTGTGTGTCACTTGACCTACCTATAAAAGGAATATTGTAATACCCCTAGTTTTAAAAAGGATAAAATTGGGTTATTTATTTATTTATTAATTAATTGATTTAATTATGTGATAAGTTGTTTTGTTTTTCTTAAGTGATTAATAGTGTGTATTTAAATTAATATTGTTTAATTGTGAATAGTGGGTATGTATTTAATTATTTATTGTCTTGAATTTATTTATGTGTTTTGAGTGATTATTTATTTGTTTTCCTTATTTGTTTTACGTGTAATTAATTAATTAGGTTTAGGGTGTTACGATTATGTAATTATGGGTGCTAACTTATAGGAGGTTGGAATTAGGGTTAAGTTTTTTTATGGTAGCCTATATATTTAACTTTACAAGTCTGTTAGGGTTAAAAACAAGCCTATAAACGTAAGAATTCTTGAGAGAGAAAATAGAGGCACACATAATGGTTTTGAGAGGAAACTATATGGGCCACCAATTAGGAGTTCAACCGTGACCTGAAGGTCGTATCAAGGAGGAAGGAGTGGATGGATTGTGGTATTGGAACTGAGCAGTAGGAAGGTTGCCGGTCGTCCGTTCGTCGAAAACTCCATAGACGACGTTGTAAGGTTTCAAACCGAAACCTAAAGGCAAGTTTCATTCTATCTCCTTCCTGTAAACTTGTATTCTGTGCATTCTATATGGTCTCCAGGAAATTAATTTAACTTTAAAATGGAAGGTTGATACAAGATTATCAGACTGTAACCTGTTGCACGCTTAAGTAACTGGTCTCAGTTCTCTTGCATAAATTGTGTTGTTTTCGGTTTAGATTTTTGTCAATTGATTTACATTGGAACATGAAGGGCTTCTAGGGTTGTTCAGACTCTGATTGAACCTTGTAAACTTTTTTTTAAAAAAATTCAGAACCGAAGGATGGAGTTCGCCGGTAGCAGAGAGGGCAAACAGGGGAAGCATAAACTGTTTCATTTATGGTTTATGTTTTGTCAATTAATTCATATTGGAATTGGAGAAGCTTCTAGGATTGTTAGGACTTAAATGGACAGTAAAATTTATTTAATTAATGTGCTTGAATTTAAAGGAATTTAATTGCATGAAATTGAATTTGTTTTAGGACTGCTTTTACGGTTGGATTATGTACCTGTTTTAACCATGATTTTCTCTTGAATGTACACTTGTTTTGAATCATGTAGTGATGCAAAATTTCTTCTTATAATTAGTTGGGATGGTCTGGAACTTAAAACAGTGGGTTAGGAACTTGAACAGGGGCAACCGGAAAGTCAGAAAGTGTCCGGAATTGAAGAAGACGGAGGTTCAGATAATGGAGCAGGCTCCATTCTTCAAAGGAGCCGGCTCCATTGAGATGGAGCAGGCTCTAAACTATTTTAGAGCTGGCTCCAAGAGGATAGAGCAGGCTCCAAAATATAATGGAGCCGGCTCCACTTTTGGTAATGCACAGTAAGTGCGTTTTTGTGGTTTTTCTGATTTCAGGGGCTTAAATGAAATTAATGGGAAGTAGTGTGGGGTTTTAGATGTTTAAAATTAACCTATTAAAACCATAAAATAGTTAGTATATGCTAGTGTGTTAATATTAATGGACATCATGATTTTTTAAAAAGATTAATGTGCATGTTGTTCAGGAATGAGAAAGTCTTAAATTTCTAGTTTGGTTAGCCAATTGAATGGATTGAATTGGAAAATATTTTAGGGATGTTGTACCAAAGATATTTGTGATATATTTAAGTTCCATGAGGTTTGGTTGGGTTGTGGTTGTGGACGTTATGTAATTTAAATACATTGTTGCATGCTGTCAGGAGTGGAGGAGTTTTTATTTGCCGGTTTGTTTTAACCAGTTTATTTTGGTAAGTATAAAATACCATTGGGGTTGTATATAATGTGTTATGAGACTTCTTAGTTGACATATTATGTCAAGCACAGGCTTTAACATGGAGGATTAAAAAGGACGTCATGTAATGAAACGATAATTTTCATGCCGTCAGGGATTAAGGAGGATTTTCATTACTAGTCTTTGTTTTAATAATTTAAATGAACTAGTATGAGAGTATGGTTAGGGATGTCTAGTATAATGTGCTCAGCTCATATTTCTGATAGTCATTATACCATGGTGTGGGTGTTAATTGATGAACTATTGAAATTTCTGTTTTGTCAATTGGATGGATATGGATGGTTTAAATTGTCTATCAATGCTTTAACAATTTAAATGGAAGTTTTATGATTATAATCATATACTGGATGCATAATTTAGTCATACATATAATAGACTGTATTTATGTTTATTTTGGAGTATGGTTGATGAATATTTATTATTAATTTGTCAACTATATTGGATGGAGGATGGTATGCACCGGTATGGGATGGTGGCATACTAGGTATGGATTAGTTAAAACACTATAACCTACCTATTCTAGATTGAGGTGTGAATTTACCATAAAGGTTCAGTCCCACTCATATTTGTGTCATATCAATTATGAATTGAATGACCTACTTTGGTTTCTGGATGGATTGTTATACTTATATCAGACCACTACAAAGAATGGATGATATTTTGTATTAGGAGTATACGGACTTTATATACATATCATTATAGTGCCATGGTATGAGCTTGAGTCTCAGGACCATGGTTAGGGTGCGTATATCGCCTATGATGGACAACTGGACACAGGTGTTGTTCCCTAGTAGGTCTAGATACACATGGCCACAGTATGTGCGATTTGCATGGTATCTCTACTCAGGCTGAGACAGACCTATTGGACTAGTGAGCGTCCTATAGTGTGTATCTATATCTATATGGACTATTTTAGCTATTACCAAGCTATCTAGGATGTATCTGCGTATCGGGTTTATGTATGGATTGTAGTAGTATGGAACTTGCATATGGGCCTGACCCACCCTTATTTTTCAGGTGCTCGTGAGTACCAGGCTTAGGGCTTGATCGTGGTGATGCAGATACAAACACTCACTCTTCCGACTATATAGGAGTTTCTTTCTTATTTTAGTCTTGGGTTTTAATTCTGTATTTCATTTACAGTTGAGGATTATTAGGGGTCCACTTGGTGGATTCCCGAGTTGTAAGGATTGGAAGGTTTAAATTATATTAAAATTTTATTTGAAGGATTTTTCGTATTTAGAATTCTTATCAGCTTATTATTATTTTATCTTATTTCATTTTTTTTTTATATTCTGTGTTCAATTACATATTGATTG